TCCCTGCATTGGCTGGGCTGTTCTTTGGAGAGCTGCCTGCCTCTTCTGAAGGAGACATCGTTGTTCGCTGTGAGTTTGGAAAGGGATGGTAGGTGCAGCAGGAGGGACTTGGGAGAAGGGCACAGGCTACGTTTTTATCATTTTATCATTTTACAGCGTCCACCTCACTTTGCAAACATCTGCTGTGCCCACCTCAGTAGTGCGCTTAATATGTTGTGGCCATCATCTGACAAATAGAAGAGTTTTTCAATGGTACTCGCTTTTCCTGCGGCCAGCAGCCATCTTGGCTTCTTTCAGGAAGAGAAAAATATCCTCCGGGAAAGCCACAAAGAGACTCTTGGCCTAGGGTGGAAAGAGAATCCACTTTCTAAGACCATAGTATTTATACTAATGAGCGCTAATAGCTTTGCACCGAAGAAAGTGAGTTCATCACCAACCAAGACCTCTCGGGACTCTTTGCAAGAAATCCCTTGCCTATGACTCTCTGCAGGTGCACAACGGGAGAACTGTGTGGCTATAACAATGCCTACCTTTTCAAACTCGTGCATTCTGCTAAATTTCCAGAGAAATAGAACCGGATGACCTGACTTTAGGTTTCTTAGCACGTTGAAATTAGTTGAAATTTTCACTATAACACTACTCAGGGGTGACATCTATGGGTCTACAAACGGATGGTTTTAAAGAACGTGCAGGTCACATCATCCTATTTTGGTGAATGTCATTCATGTTTGTTGCAGAGGATTTGTAGGAGAACTAAACATAGAGGCAGAGAGAAGAGAATGGTCCTTCTTTCCTGTCTATCAATAGGCCATATATGGTCTTCCGTATCTTAACTAAAGACGCACGACGCTCTTCCCCTTTCTGCTCCCACCGGCAGGTGAGGCCGCTGACGGCGGGCCTTGCTGAGAACAGGCTGCTCTGGTACAGTGCAAAAGCGGCTGCTTCCTTCCTGCCTCTCCTTGCTGGGAGCACAAGGGGCTTTCCTCCAGTATCTCGACTGTGGGAACTTGGTCAAGTTCCTGGAGGCAAACCTCCCAGTGTGCTGGGCCCCTGTAACGACCGGGTCCCCCAAGACTTAGCTCTCACCTTGCCCACAATGTTAGTGACAGTTGCAGGTTTCCTACTTGGACACTAGCTCCCCACGCAGTTTCCACTCGTGACTTGGCTCTAATAGCCCAGGACTCTCTGTCTGTCTCTCCACACCTGGGAGGACAGAGAATTTGCCTGGTGTCTTCCTGCCTCTTATGGATCCAACAAGGGTGGTTGATTTTTCCGTCTGTTTAGGTTTTTACTTGTGACTAGGACAGAGTTGTATCCTTACACACAAACCAGAAACCAGAAGTCCTCTTTTCCCATTTCTAACAATATCTCTCTTCTTTACTTGCCAAACTATCTTTGCTTACTTTATTTGTTTTCTTTTTTTTTTTAAGAAACTTTTTTAAAGATTTTATTTATTTATTTTTAGAGAGAGGGGAGGGGAGGGAGGAAGAGAGGGAGAGTAACATGGATGTATGTGAGAGATACATCAATCGGTTGCTTCGCTCTCACCTGGGGACCTGGCCTGCAACCCAGGCATGTGCCCTGACTGGGAATCGAACCAGCAAACTTTCAGTTCCCAGGCTGACATTCAGTCCACTGAGCCACACCAGCCAAGGCTTTATTGGTTTTCCTGACACTCTCTCCACTTCAAACTGTTTCCTAATTTCCAAATCCAGGATATATTTTAAGATATATTTCCACACCAGGATATATTTCTGTAATACCATGTAGCAACAATAGCCACTCTTTTTTTTCCTTTACAGCATCTTTTCCTTTAGCCTTATAAAAAAATAAATCCTTTAGAATCCAATGTCTGTATTTTTATGAATGCCTCTTAGCCCCCAACCTAGGCTCCTTCCTAGGGTTTAGTCTTTGGCTCTCCATTTTTCTTCCTTTACGTTTGTTCCTGTGGTGAATGCCCCATGGCCTCTATGTAAATGTACACGTTCAGTTCTGACTTGTGTCCTGAGACCAACATCTTTAGTAGCATGTTGCGTATTGCCAGTGGAGAAATATGTAAAATACAGGCCCCAAACAAAGTCCGCCTGGGAGTCCATTCCTTCTGACCTGGGCAGGAAGTATTTTAGCACGGTCATTCCCGCCGCAGGGCACGGCCCACAGAGGCCAGCATGCCTGGGTGAGCCCGGGGAGCCCATTGTGACTCTGAGTCTTACCTCCCACCCTTTGAATCATCCATGACTGTGTCCTTAGAAAGAACGGAGACTCCAGAGAAAGGGCATCTTTGTGGAGAGGTCCCTTTTACCGAGCATGGTGCACTGTAAGAGTATGTACCCCCTTCACTTAGAACGTGCTCCTGAGTGCCCCTCACTGTGAGCATCAGGGGACAATTTCTAGAGGAAGAGTGACTGGCTGATTCCCAGATTCACATAATTACCCCCTGGGGCTTCTCAGACATGTGAGAGAAAGACATTCCAAAAGGCCAGACTTCCTGGTATCAAGCAGGTGGGAGAACAGAAAGAACATCGAGATTTGGAGTATGACTGTAATAATGACCTCATGTGTACTCCGAGATTAATGATTTTTAAAGCTCTTTTTTTTTTTTTTCTAGATGAATTGCAGACAAAATTCCCAAGTCAGGAACCTAAGAACTGAGCCACACTCCCCCTTTTTCCTTGCCTGTGAAATCTAATGAGCACTCTGCAAATCTGTCCTTTATAATACGTGCAGAAGTAGAATATTATAGCACAAAGGATGGGGGTAAATGGAGCACTATTATAAAGTTCTTATGTTAGGTGATAGAAATTTGAAGTAGACAGTGATAAGAATCTATGTGTAATCTCTAGAGCAACTTTTAAAAAAGCAACAAAGAGGTATAGCTAAAAAGTCAGTAGAGATAATAGAATGGAATACAAAAATTTATTCAATTCACAAAAGAACAAAAAAAGAAAAGAAGGGAGGAACAAAAAAAACTGATAGCATAGAAAAAATCCAAGGAATACATAGACTTAAACCCAACTATATCAGCGATTATTTTAAATGTAAAAGAACCAGACATTTCAATGACAGGCAGAGATTATTAGACTGGGCTTTTAAAAAATCAAGACCCAGTTATATATTGTTTATAAGAGATGTACTTTATAAATATGCAGACAGGGTGAAAGTATAAATAGGGAAAAGATATTCATGCAACACTAACATAAGAAAGCTAGGGTAGCTCTATAGATTTCTAACAAAGAAAACTTCAGGACAACGAGAATTACTAGAGATGGTTAGAGTCATTTCACAAAGATAAAAGATCAATTCATCAAGAAGACTGGGTAAATCTGCCCTTGGTAGCATCTTCCTCAAGTGCCACCTCCTCTCTATTTAGTCTTATCCCTTAGCTAAGCTCAGGACTCCCGATTTCTGGGCCGAATGACGTTTCTCTCCCATCCCAACCCATCCCAGCTACAAGTTCATTTGTGAAACAAAGACAGGACCACTCCTCTAATTACAAACCTTTGCTGGTTCCCAGTCATTGGCTGGATAAAGTTCAGTTGCTGTCCTGAGCTTGTGACAGGCATGCCTGCGGCTTCTCCTAACCAGCTGTCCAGCTTTACTTCTCGTTGCTCATCACTTATCCTTGAACACACTCACAGCAGTAACTCCTTTCCAGAACAAACAACGCTTCTCTCCGCTCGTACTTCTTCCACTTGCCAGAGGTACCCTCCTCGGACTTCTTCCACGCAGTGGTGAAACACCCTTTCCTACCTGGCTGCAAGCTGGAAATGAACCGGCCCCTTTAGCCCTTCCACTCCTCCCTCCCTCACTAAATGTAGCCACACTGGCCTCAAACAACCACTTCGGGTCCCACGTTAGGGTCTTGGCACTTACTGTTCCTTCCTCAAGGCATGCTCTCCTCCTCTATCCCTGTCCGGTGGCCCCTTTGAGCCATTCCGGGCCTCAGATCTGCTGTTGCCCCTCCAGAATCCTCGCGTAACCTCTCAGTCTTAAACAGCACCTCCCCCGCCCTCACTGCGCATCCTGCTATTTTATTGCGCCCACACTTCTCAGTGCCTCAATGCCCTGTTCGTGTATTTGTATCCTCGGTGTCTCCTCACCCCCCTGGAATGTGGACTCCACGTGAGCGAGGTTCTTAGGGATTTTATTCACTGATGTGCGCTTAGATCCTACCACAGTGCCTGGCACATAGTAGGCCATCAAAAACAATGCATGACTGCTAGATAGACAAGGGAACATTTGGAGCAGGGGATCTTTTTACTAAGGGTGCACTCTTTTCCCAGGTTTTAGGCAGGCCTTGTCCGTGCCTTCCAACATGCATATCCAATGAGGTGGCTCCAGCTGTGGATTCCAGGGGTTGGCCCCCTGGGAACCCGCCGGGGCCTCCAGCAGAAGGAGGGGCTGGTGAGGTCTGCATCAGCATCCCTCCGTCTGCCTGTCTGCAAGGCTGCAACCTCAGTCACTCAGACCCTGTCAGAGGCGCAGAAAGGTGCTTGATAACTGCTGCTGGTCGTGAGCTGAGAAGCCCTTCTGAGCACGAGAGCGCATATTTTCATGGGCTCTTTACCGTGTGTCTCCCGGTCCACTGACAGAGGAATGGATAGACAAAATGCAGTGCATACGATGGAATATTATTCAGCCTTAAAAAGGAAGGGGCCCGGGATGCGTGCTGCCGCATGGATGAACCTCGAGGACATGATGCTGAGTGAAATCAGCCAGCCGTGAAAACACAAGTTCTGTATGAGCCCACTCCTAGGAGGTACCTAGAGTACTCAAATGCGTTGAGATAGACAGTTACTGGCGTTTCTGGCGGGTGGGGGAGGGGGTTGGGGGAGGTGAATGGGGAGCTCTGGTACCCAGTCTATGTTGCAAACTGAAAAGAATCCTGGAGACCAGTTGTACAACAGTGTGAATGCACTTATCACTCCTAGGCTGTGCACTTAAAAATGATTAAGATTGTAAATTTTATGCCTTTTTTTTTTTTTTTTTTTTAACCACAGCTAGAAAAATACAAAGACTGGTGAAGGTGGTAAATTTAACGGATATTTTAGTACAATTAATTTTTCGGGGAAAAACGGATCACTTGTACACATATTATGTATGTACTTGTACTGGAGCCTTCAACTCTCTTCAGAACATTTTCTACTTCAATTCTGCTTGAGGAATATCTAAGGTAAGGACCTGGAGTTTGGCACTGTGGACGGGGGTGGGGAGAGGTTATGATGCGAGGGGGTGAGAGCTGTGTCGTGAGCTCTGAAGACCGTGACGCCTTTTAGATCATTTCTCAGGAAGAGCCTCACGTCGTAACTCTGAGAGCTCCATGGATCTTTAACAAAGATGCCCTGTTTTGGTTCGATTATATCCAGAAGGTAACAGATCGTAGAAATTTTCTCTTGATGGGCTTTTTAAACTCAACTCGTATTCAATTTCTCTCTCTGTGGTTTTTGAGTAGTCTCAAGTTCAGAATCATTTCAATTAAAGTTCAACATCGCTTTAATTTTCTTAAGGCTTTCCTCCTTTTCTCTGATTTTTTTTCCAGAATGTCCCTATCTAGTGTCCATTCCATAGCCTGCTTTCTTTTGAGAGAAAAATGTTTAGCTACTTACTCTTTGGCTGCAAAAATGCCTTCAACGTTTGGATTTCCTAGCGGCACGAATCCTTCCCCTTGTTACATAAAGGGAGCCCGTGTGCCCTTGAAGTTCCAGGGAAGTTGGTGTCCTAGGAGTATTGGGCACGGCAGATGGGGGTGTATAGTGGCTGTGCGGGTCTGAAGAGGACGTGAATGGCGGTGCTGTTTACCGCGGGCACTCACGCGTCTGCTTGGAGCACAGGGTGCCAGGCCGGCCCGCCGCCCTCCTAGTGGGACTGGTCTGTCCTTTAGAGAACCACGCCCTGTTTCCTGCCTGGTCTGTGGTGGTTGGCACAGCACCTTGGCCATGAGATCAGTGGCCCCTTTTCCCTTAAACCCAACTGCATGACTTCAGGTTCCTGACACATGCTTGCGACATCCGTGTCCTTCAGTGCAACATGGCCCTCTAAGGAGCCTGCCATCTAAAATAGAGGCATACCCCTGACCCCATGGCAAAATGCAACGTTCAACCTAAACAGAAACTACATATTGCCTTTTAATAAGTGTTATGATCAATATGTGTATTGATTGATGAAATGCATTGTTCAATTATACAATTCATTGTCTTTTCATGAGTGTAGCCAACGTTCTTTTTGTTTGTTTGAGGGTTTACTCTGAGTTGCACGCTACTGCTGCGTATCGACTTGCTTGATCTTTACAACAACCCACTGGAGTGTTGTTAACAATGGTTCAACAGCCCTCCGAAGGGTTGGTAACAACCATTATCCTCCCTGTTTTATCAGATGAGGAAACCGGGTCAAGAAGAGGTCAGGAAACTAGTTCAGACTCCCGCAGCGAGAAAGCGGCGGAGCTCGGGCTGGATTGGGCTGGTCTGTGCTCCAAGCCCGGCCGCCCGATGGCGGAGCCCGGACTGTGTGTCCCAAGGTTTACTCCATGCAACACGCTGCAGACAAGACAATGAGAGCCGTAAAAGGGGCTCCTACACTCTGAAGGCTTTTGTCCCCTCACAATCCCTATGTTGAAGCCTTAACCCCCAGAGCGATGCATTTGGAGATGGGACCTTTGGGAGGGCATTAGGTTAAGATGAGACTCGCTTCCTCTCTCTCTGCCCGGTGGGGACACCGTTTGAAAGCATTCGCCTACAAGCCACAGGGGGAGCCCTCCGCAAGAGCCACAGCGGCCAACAGGAGGGCTGTGGACTTCTCCGCCTCCAGAACTGCGGGAAACAAGTGTCTGTTGTGTGTGCTACTGGTCTAGGGCATTTTGTTACAGTAGTCCAAGCTCACTAAGACAGGGGAGGGTGTTCTGTAATCAAACTCATTTGGAAAATGCGCTATGCTTGCTCCCTCTCTTAAAGGACTCACAGTGTCTGTTAGGACATCAAAGGCTCTGAAAAGTCCTGGGGTGAAGAAAGCAGTTTCCATTTGGCTCAGCAATGGCTTTTCAATTTGACTATGAACCATCCCTCACTTGGGAATACTTCACAGAACACACTTGGAAGGTGCTGCTGGGACTGAATACCATGCCTCAGGCATGACTACGTCCTTGCGTTCCGGGGGGATGTAACAGCCCCACGAGGTCGGCAGCTTCTACAGTTGCAGGTCTGGTAGGCGAGGCCAAGAGGAGGAAGCAAGGCGCGCAGACCCTGAGAAAGACAGAGCAGGGGGCTGCGTCCGACAGGATGGCGAGTGGCCCAGAGGTTCCTGAACGTCTGGGAAGAAAAGCGGGGAGATCTACATACTATGAGGAAGTTGTTCCCAAGGTAAATCTGGTGAGAACGAACTTCTAAGGGCAGAGTTTAGGACCTGCCCTGGGTGGAGGACTTGATTTTACAAGAGGAAGGATGTTCTAGTATGATGTTCATTTGAATATAGGAAGATGGGATAACAAATGACTCTCGGAATTATTGTCATTGGCTGGACAGAGCCCTATGTGCCGCTCATCCGAAATTGAATATGGGCTGATTTCCTAAAACATCTCAATTTCTTTCTAGAGAAGGACAAAATGTATGCTGAAATAAAAGACCCAGGTGAGCAAAAGAGCAAAGAAATCTTGCTTGGTCATAGCAGTACCCAATAAATGTTTGCTGCATATATTGAAAGGTCAGAAAGGGGGGTTAATAGCGCAATTGAAGGTTTTGTGTCTTTAAAATGAAAGATTAATTATTATTTGGTAATTGGACATTTTTAATAGCGTATTCTTGTTGTAGGATTGGGGGAAGAAAGGAATATTGCTGGCACACAGGTGGCAAATATGCATAGAAAACCACCAAACCACTGTGTGATTTCCTAGTGAGATTTAATGTCTGATGTCAACTGAGGGGCTCAGCCCAATAGCCTTAAAGAATCCATTCAAATCTCATGTCCTGATTCCTCGCTCTTCAGAATGTGCTGGAGGAAGTTTGGAAAGGGAACTTTCCTTCAGGTGTCAGTATACGTCACACAGACAGCGGCCGGGTGATGGCTGCTTAATACATAGATCCACTGTGCAAATAGGTCCAATTTGCTTTACTGCTTAAGCCAAAGAGAACAAAAGTGTAAGTGGCCTCAGTCATTAACACTGGAGGTGTTGACACAGAAGAGGTTAACCTCAGTACAGAGCAATGGCCTGTCCACACTTTTTATTTAAAACAAGGTGACATTTGATTGAAATTAACAATTTTCCTCAGAACTGGAATGTAGTGAGGTCTTATGCATATCGCACAGAGGCTATTTTCAATTCCTGTGTTCATCTATTCACCTGTAATTGCGGACTGTGTACAAAGAATGTTTTCTCTTGTGTAAATGCCAGGTGGAGTTAGCAAATGTCGTGGTTATTAGTGCCATCTACTGGTTAAATCGAGTATGAGCCCCTTTACTGGGCACAAGACGCTGAGCTACTGTGCAGTCAGGGACTCAAGTCAAAGGACAGATGAGACGGGACGCCTGCATTTAAGACTGATAAGGAATCCAACTTTATGAGCCAATTGGAAAGCCAACCACTGAAAGTGTGTTTGATGCTAGTAAAGAATTACTGCTAATTATTGTTCATTATTTTGGGGAGGGATGTTGGTATTATGTTTACATTAAAACATCCTTATCTTTTAAAGATTTGGTCCTCAGGCCAAACCCAGTCCCTTACCTCCTTCTGTGTGGCGTATGAAGCTAAGATTGGTTTGCACAACGTTTGAAAGATTCAAGATGAAGTATTTTGTGTCATAGGGAAGTTATATGAAATGACGACTTCTGTTTCCATAGCGGAAGGTTTATGGGGGCACAGCCAGGCTCAGCCACTGACCTGCCGTCTAAGGCTGCTTTCCCGCAACCCCGGCGGGGCTGAGGAGTTGCGCGGGAGGCCCTAGTGCCCGCAGGGTTTAAAAGTTTATTCCCTGGCCTTTTGCAGAACGTATACTGGCCCTGCCTGAGGGCTGTGCTGTTGTAAGTGCGGCCTGGCGACCTGCAGCGCTGGCCGTGCCTGGGAGGCTGTTAAGCGGCCGTTTCGAGCCTCCATCTCGCTCCAGACCCACTGACTCCGGATCCTTCGATCCTGGGTGGTTCCTACTCACATCACAGCTAGGGAAGCGCCTGCGTAGAGGGCCCTGCTTGCGTCAGCCTCGGCTGCACCCTCCCCACGGTGCAGGCAGCCAGCAAGGAGGAGGGGAGGGGTCTACCTTGAGCCCCCTCTAGGCGCTGCTCTCCTACCTGGAACCGTGCAATTCCTGCCTCCAGCGCCAAGGCCGGCCCCCTGTGTGGTCAAGATACAGCTGCTTGTGGGGTGGGGAGAGAGTGGCCTGCGCCCAAGCTTGCAGGCTGGGCTTCCTTGTGGCACAACGAGGATCAGAGGCAAAGGCAGGAGGAGACAGGAAGGGGGGGGGGGGCGGGGGGCGGGGGGGCGGGGGGGGGGGCGGCGGCTCCCTGGGACCTCACCTCTTGGCTTGGAACTCCCCAGTCCAGGCATCCCCGCCTGCCGGGTAGTTACACAGGTTTATTGGACAGTTTCTTAGCTTGACTTAAAACTTTTAAACATTTAAACATATAGAACGAGGCTTGATTTATAAAGCTTTTAACCCCGGGGCCCACAAATGTTAATGGTGGGTCTGTTGAATGCTTCTCAGTGTGTGTTCCAAGGACCACGTGCATCAGGATTTTTATGGGCTGTTCGTTAAAAATGCAAATTCCGCCCACACTAGTGTGGCTCAGTTGGCTGGGCGTCGTCCTGCAAAGTGAAAGGCAGCTGGTTGGGTCCCCAGTCAGGCACAGGCCTGAGAGGCAACTGATCAATGTTTCTCTCTCCCATCCATGTTTTTCTCCCTCTCTCTAAAAATAAGTAAATAAAATCTTAAACATGCAAATCCCCAGGCCCCATTTGCAATTCTTTAAATCAAGACCTTTGAGGATGGACCCTAGGAATGTGCATGCCCCGTAGGGGAGGAGAGAGAGGAAGCCAGGACCTAGGAGAGAGGATGCTGACGACGATCTTCGGGCGCGGCCTGCCTCTCTCACTACCAGTCCTCGCGCCATCTGTCCCCGACGCAGCTCTGGGAATTGCAGGGAGAAGCTTCCCACCAGAATGGGGCAAGGGAGCCTCTTGCCAAATGTGGGGTTTGGGAGGCTGCCCTGCAGAAGGAAGTATCTGACTCAATGCACAATTGGGAGCAAAAGGAACCGGGGCGGGGCGCGGGGGGGGGGGGGGGGGGGCGGCGCGGTGGGAACCAGAGAGGCTCTACCGGAGATTCCCGCTGAATCCCTCCTGCAAATCTTTGGGCTGGAGGTGAGACCTCCCAGTCCCGCAGGGGATGTGGGAGTGGCTGAGACGGGCTTTGCCTCCCACTGGCCTGGGGTCAGATTCTGCATCTGTCATTAAGAATTGTATGACCTTGAGCAAGTTACTGAAGCTTTGTAAGTTGGTTTCCTTGTCTGTAAGATGGGGTTCCCAACACCTCCTAGGCTTGTGTTAGAGTTAGACGAGGTAAGTAAAACCACATGCTGGCCACACAGAGCTGAATGCGGGGTGGCTGCTGTTCATTATGAAGCTCAAAATCTATTCCTCTGCTCCTCCTGATGCTTGATAGCAGAGGCTCTTGCCACTGGCTGATAAGACAAATTTCCTCAAACCCCAAGTACAGGAAGCTACTTAGGCTCCCGTTACACAGTGCCTGGCGCCAAATCAGTGCTTGGCCAGTGACCTTGAACTCTCGGTGAGGGAGCAACCCCTGAAGTTGCTGCCAAGCTGCTCATTGTGTAGGATTTCAAGGATCCCCACCCATCAAGGCCGTGTCTTGGGACTCCCTTGCCTCCTAGTTTGCGATGAAACGCTGGCCACTGTGAAACTTCCAGGGACAGCTGTGCCGTACTAAAAACCGCCACTAGGGGGAAGCAGACTCCAAGCATTCATGTGAGGAGAGGTGAAAGGCTGTGAAATGCTGAACCAGGTGGACTCCATAGAAGGCAAGAGGGGTAGCGAGCGGTAGCCTGCCCTGTAAGGCCCACCCGACCCTCTATGCACATAAATGCACACTCCTGGCCCGGCACTTGCATCGCCTGATCGCTGTTTACTGTTTCTCCGTAGATGGACACTCCGTTGTGTCTTAAATATGGCAAAGGCCCTTGGATTGCAAACTTAGCTGCAAATTTGCATCACCTGGGAAGCTCCGTAAAACCCCAGTGCCAAAACCTTATCTCAGTTCGCCTCTCTGGGGTGGGGAGGCAGAGACGCGGTCGAAACACCGCACAGGTGATCCCACCTTGCAGCCAAGTAGGAGGACCCCTTGTAGGTAAAAGATTTCATTTCTTCCCAAGCGGCCGCCAGCTTTCATTGCTGGTTGCCTCCTCCAAGGAGCCTCCCTAACTAGTCACACATTCTTCTCCTCTATTTGTCCGTGCCTCTGTCTGTCGTCGGTGCCAGTGCTTTTCGTAGTTGAATGTGCATAAGGATCGCCTGGGAATATTGTTACTACGCAGATTCAGGCTCAGCAAGTCCAGGTGGGGCTGAGAGGCTGCATTTCTACTAAGCTCCCAGGTGCTGACTAGCTGGTGGTCCAGGGACCACAGCCAGCACGGCTGATAGGCCAGCAGCCTCTGTTTCTGCACATGCGCCTTTGTGGTCGTTCCAGCCATTTCGTGTTACTTTTCTGCCTTCCCTGCTACAATGGGGAGAGTGGCTGGTCTCCAACGCTCTATCCTGCCTCTCATTCCAGTCCCACTCAGGTCCCCACGACACTGCCCTTTACATGAACCCACAGAAAAGGTGTTCATGACTGTTCAGTGGGGAAAGGAATACATGTGGTGCGAGAAGCTCTGAGCTTGGAGTTTGAGACCTGGCTCTGCCTTTGACAAGCTGTCAGGATTTAACCAAGAGGTGCACTGTCTGAGACTCAGTTACTTCGCCTGGTTAATTTATTTCATAATCTCGCTGTGAAGGCTAAAGGAAATAATCGTGTTAGAGCTCCTTTTCATCAGCGTAGGAGCACCTTCCTTTCTCTCTCTCTTGCTTGTCACCATAGCTCTGGATTCCAGCCTTGCCCTTCACGCACTACCGGGGGGGGGGGGTCCCATCTATTCCCGATGCTCCCCGTCTCCACCCCCAGCTCCGATTCCCCCTCAAGTTCCATCTGCCTCACCAAATGCCTACAGCACTTCTCCATCTTCTCGCCCCTCCACATGTCACATTTGACACATCACAAATCAAGTCTATATTTCTTTTCATTTCCCCAAACACCTCCTTCTCCCATGTGTCCCATCCCCATCGACCCCCAGAGGGAGAGGAGTGCAAGGAGCAGGGAGAGGGGACCTCAGGTGGGGGGTGATGGTGTGGGATAAGCGGGAAGAAGTCTGGGATGGGCATAGAAGACCACCCAGCACCCTCAGGGAGGCAGCATCAACCATAAGTGAGATCACAGAATGGCTGTGACATTCTAGTTCCCAAGGGTGGGGGCGGGGGCGGGGAATCCAAGGGGTTTTGATCTGGCCTTGGGGTTGTGGGAGCACAAGAGGCTAACTGACCCAGGAAGGGTTAGCCAAGATCCTACCCACAGAAACGGAGCCGGAGAACATGAAGTAGGAACAGAGCCACCTTCCAGAGCCTCTGCCTGGGCACCCAGCCCCACAGGGAACGGGCACAGTCTCACCAGAGCCCACGAGACCCACTGGGATGAAAGCACCCAAACTCTTTCAAACCCTGCTGGCCACTTTCCTGGCCCAGGAGAGGAGCAGAGATGCCTGCTGAGAGGTGGCAGGACTCAGTAGGGGTAGCGGAGATGTGGGCACAGTTCTGGCACTCTCTTCCTTGGTGAATGGCTGGAGGATGTGGTGGGGCCGTGGAGACTCACCTCCTCCCAGCGTTGAGCAACTCAGAAGAGAGCTGGGCCAGCAGATTTGGTCATTCCTGTGTGGGGTTCCATCGTGTCTCCCACCCCCAAATTTGTATGTTGACTCTCTAACCCTCAGTACTGCAGAATGTGACCTTGAGTCACCGCAGATGTAATTAGTTAAGATGAGGTTAACAGGATGATTCTTGTCCTTGTCAATAGGGGAAATTTGGGCACGGGGAGAACACCGTGTGAAGACAAAGGCAGTGAATGTAGTGCTGGGTCTACAAGCCAAGGAATGCCAAAGAGTGTCAACAAAACCACCAGAAAGTGGGACAGAGGCACGGGGCAGACTGTCCTCACAGCTCTCAGAAGGAACCGACCCTGCCCACACCTTGATCTTGGACTTCTGGACTCCAGAGCCGCGAGAGAACACGTTTCTGTTGTTGAGGCTGCTCAGCCTGCAGCACCATTACAGCAGCCCTGGGAGGAAGAGGCCACTGAACCATAGCCTGTGTGCTTCCCGTCTTCCTGAACACGTGGCCCCTTCCACCTGGTCTTCCACCTGCTCCCCTGCCTGCTGGAAGCAGAAGCTAACCTGTTCTCCCCCGCCCCAGGCTGGGGTGGCCGGCCATTCCTCTTCTCTGCACCCATCGAAAGCCGGGCTGTTCTCCCTTAGAACCCTGCCATAGTGCATTGTGTTACCATACTTTCTTTTCATTTCTGTTACCTCCACTAGTCGGCGAACCCCTTGACAACACGGATCTGTGTCCTCCAGAGCTCAACAGCCAGGCACAGAGCCAGGCCCTTGAGCAGTTCTTGGGGGATGGGTTTATCACTAACCCTCAAAGCTTGGTCCTTGGACGAACAGCAACAGCAGCATCCCCTGGGATTGTGTCCCGGATGCGCATTTCCATCTCCTCCCCAGGCCTGCTGAGTCTGAAACTCCGGGGCCCCATTCCTGCCTTTCTCTCTTGCTTTATCTTGATGCTGTCTCTCTCCAGACTATGCTCCTGCACGCCTTAGCCTCTTTCACTCCTTGAATCCACCAAACTCTCCTTTGTTCTTGACCTTCGAACCTGCCTTTATGTTGCCTAGAAACTCCCCTCCCTTCTTTTATTAACGCTTATTCCTTCTTCAAGTTGAAAAGGAAATACTACTTTGAACAGCAAGTCTCCTCCTCCTCCTCCATGAGATTAAAAACAGTGCCCTTCTCTGTCTTCACACTTGTCCCCTTGGCTGTACCTGATCCTTTCTCACCTCCTTTAGCCTGGAAGAGCAGAAACTTTCTCAGAGCCTGGTGTTTTGTTGGATGATTTTGAAGGTGCACAGGCATTAGGTGAACGATTCCCAGATTTGTCTACTTATTTTCTTTTTTATCCTTTGACTAAGAGTTTAGCTGCTAATAAAACTTGGGTGGGAGGGGGGTATTAGAAGAAGAGACAGTATGTCTATGATTTAACCAGACCACAGTCGGAGAGAGAAGGAAGAGAACTTCGCAGTTGGGAAGTGCGTGGCCAGCAGGAGGTTGCCCGGACTCCACCAAAGCCTGTCCCTTTGCTTCGTGAAGGGCCATCATCTCTGATACATGGAATCTCTGTGGGCAAGGCTGTAAATAGGAAAACTTGGAAGAAAGCCAGAAGGGAAGCACATGTTGTGTCTCTATAAATGGTTGCTACTCTCTAACCTAAACAAGCCACTTTAATTGGGATATGACATAAATTATCATAGAATAAAACTCTTTCATCCACGCTCAGGATTAGAAGGGACATTGGATCAAGTCCCATCCTTCGACCTCTGCAGGAATCCCTTCTGCAGATTTCTGATAAGAACACACTAGCCCTCAGTTCTCTGCCTCACCAACTTACAACACAGCCAGTTCCGTGTTTGGAGAGTTCAAATTGTTGGAAAATTCCCTTCAGCTCAGTGCTTTGTATATGGCAGTGGTTAATTGAATTAGATAAACAAACACAGAGAATATTTACAATCAGGACAGTAGACATAATTTTAAAGTAATGTTGTGCTATTCTTTTGATAAAAGATGGCGGAACATTGTCTTAAGTGTTTGAAACAGAGTCTCTAGTTTTCTCATTGTACCAGATACATATTCTCCTCCATCTTTATTACCCGAGACAAGTTAAAAAAAGAAAAGTTGACAATAAATTCTTTCTTGGTACATAATCAGAGCCAATTACCAAATATTTACCAAACGACTGAGCCAATTCTCATAAACATTTAGTGAGTATCTTGAGTCTTGAGATTAAACTTTCAGACGGGACCTCCTGTGCTCACTGCAGACATGACAAGCCCCCTTCAGCGTTCACATAGGGACAGCCAGGGAGCGGGGCACCGTGTAATGCAAGGGACATGGCAGGTTCCTGTCCAGCTCTGCCCCTGCTACTAACTACCCATGTGATGTCAGGTAAGCTATTAGACTCGGCTGGATCTTAGTTTTCTCCTCCACAGACTGAGTTGATCAAACTAGCTGACCTGCCAGGTTTGGCAGCACTATCCCCTTACAAGCAGCCATTTTCAACTTTTCACCTCATGCCACAGGGAAACGAATCACTAACATTGTGCGACACGCCAAAAAATATATATATATATTAGATTTTTGTCGATCTGACAAAAATAGGTATAATTTTGATTAATTTACAAAAATTATAGTAATTACTTACCCTTTTAAAAAAGATCGGGTGCTATACTTGTACGTAAAGTTTATAAACAAGAACCAACTAGATGCAACCTATTATGCAACATGACCAATAAGATGCAACCCTATTATATGACCGATGTATTTATGGTTCAAGACAACACATTCACACTGGCTGGGTGTTGTTGTGTTGGCTGCTGTCATCTTTTTTTATTTGATAATCTAAGGGAAAAGAGGTTGGGCCCTGACTAAATAGTCAGGTCGTGAACGTTTTAAAAACTCTTGCGGCACAGCGGTTGAAAATCGCCGCTCTACGGCCCCAGGACTTCGCTCTTTCCTCCTAAAGACCAAAGCCTCAGGAGTGAAATTAACCCTCAGCCAGTTGGGTAATTGATCATTAGCAGGGGTCTAACTCCTACTAAATATGGATGACTAAGTTAGAGCGATTATTATGAATCTAACTATGTACATACCCTTTCTTGAATCAGCAGAAACTTGAGTCAATAATAACTAGGTGGCTGCAATACTTGGATCACAACCCCTCTGGGGTGCATCGTTTCTCCCTTCAAAGTTGGCCAGAACCCCCCGGGGCTCAGCTGAATCGGAGATTCTCAACTATTTATTGGTTTGTTTGTTTACTTATTTATTTATTTACTTTTATTGTACTGTTTTCCGTTACCATTAACCCCCTTAGACCCCTCTGCAATCACCACCCTGCTGCCCATGTCCATGAGTCCTTTTCCTTTTTTCTCGATCTCTTCACCCCCTAACCAGCCCTCCACCCCCCCCCCCCCCGCATAGCTGTCATCCTGCTCTCTATCTATGGACTTTTTAAATGCTTCTATTTTTAAACCACGGTAATTGCACTGCATTGTCAGGGCAGGGTGTATGTCAAGGAAACAAAGAAAAAAAAAATTAAACGATCCCAAAACTACAAAGAAATCTCAAATAGTTTTCAGTAAATTACTAAAATCATCAGCATGTTTTTTTCATTAATATTATGATACTTTCTGATGGTAAAATACCGTTATTATGAAACGATAATATATTCAGTAGCAAGGAAATTAAGTATATTTTTATCAGGAAGCAAGATTTCAGTGCAAGAAAAAAAAAGATAGAAATAGCAGGTCAAAAAAGTTAAATAGAAACCTGTCTCCTAAGTTTGAATTAGAAATATGAGAAGAATACACATATATTTTCTGTTTAAAAAATTTCTGTCTCTCTGTGGCTATTGAAAAGGCCTAGATATCTTGCCTAACCCATAGCAGCGAGCTTCTTACACCCAGGTTGTGCTTTCTAAGTGATGATTCCCACTAAAAGGAACAGAGGTCCTTGGAGAAATGGCTGACTCAAGGCCACAGGTGAGCCTGGAACACCTTGTTATACCAGCAAGCGAGGAATCTATCAAAGACTACAAAGTCATGATGAAAAGACTTAGGAACCAAGGTGAAGAACCCATAGGCTAGAGATTACACAAATTTAGCAACAAAAGGTATAACTACAAAGTACTGAAACGCATTGAAAATGCTAAAATTCTGAGAGTTCATATAATTATAACACACACACACACACACATCTCTTTGAAGGAAGCTAGGAATCCAACTCATGCTGAAAATTGAGAAGTAAACAGGAAGACCAAATAATTGTTCAGTTCTTTCTTCTGCAGACCTGTACGGAAGTTGTGATCGAAGAATAACCATATAATTTATGGAGTAAATTTCTTCTTTCAGAAAAAGTTGAGCTAATGAATGCAGAAGACATAATGCAATTGGAATATCGCTGTTTTGTAACCTCTAATGAAATCATGAATCAAGGCAATGGTTTTTGGTGGCTGCTGAAGGACTAGGTGAAACACAGGGAATTTTCTGAGTGGTTCAGGCTGCACCGTCTGAACCCTCCAATGATTCTTAACACAGCAAAAAAGACAACCAGGCTCAGGAGCCCCCCAATGTGAGGCAGTGAGAATAGACAGCACAGCCTACGCAGTATTCCTGCAACAACAACAACATTAAACCTGAATGTGATCAAATAAGCCTCTAGATCTGAATACCAGTTTATAGGAACTACATTCTCCATAGAGGCGTGATCAGTAAAAAAACAGACTATAGGACAGTCTACCAGTCTACAGAAATTATTGTTCTTCAACAAACTGCATAAAAAAGAGAGAGAGGTAACCTATAGATTAAAGAACATTTAGGAGACTTATCAGCCAAATGCAATGTAGGGGACTTACTTGGATCTGGATTTGAACATACAACTGTGAAAAACAAAACAAAAACAAAACAACAACAACAACAACAAAAAAAAACCTCTGAGACAATCACGGATAGTTGCCTGGATATTGATAGAGTGTATAAATATTGTTAACTTCTTGGGGGCAGTGATTACGTGGCTATGCTTTTAAAAGTCCTTATGTCTGAGATACATATAGTCTGAAATATTTATGGATAAAGTAATTTTGATATGCGGGGCTTGCTCCAAATAATTCAACCAGGATGGGAGTAGGGGAGAGGAGTGGAGGTGAGGCAGGATAGTAAGAAGCTAGGAAACTGCTGAACAAACTGGCCAAGATCTACAGCCAGATACAGAAGGTCACCAGGGTAGAGAGCCCCAGGTGCTTAGCAACAGGCAAAACTGGCCTGGACCTTGCCCCCAGGGTGGCCTTTCCCCTCCTGGCATATCGCTGGTCATGTGGTTTAGACCCTCCTGATCTTTCCTCCCTGGAGACACCACGTAGGCCTCAGCTGTGTTTCAGCTCCAGGCCCAGAAAAGCAGCAGAATCAGGTGGGTGATGCCAGGACCAGCTGCATTAACTAATGATGCCCT